TAAATATTTCAAAAAACACAAATGATTTTTTACTTTATTACCTATATGACTACACCTTATATTTTATCATAAATATATAATTTCAATTTATTCATTATCAAAACCAATATAATTTTAAATAAAATGTATAATTATAATGTCCATATTAAAAAAATACTCAAAACAAATGAACTAGTCGTTTATTAATGAAGCGAATACCTCCTTAATGTTACCACTTTTTGTAGACACCTCAAAAAATTGGCAATTCGAAAATTCTAATATTTTTTTTACCTTCTTCTATTAACACCTTTCTCTCGTGTTCAATATTAGCTTTAGTTCCACATACAACTATTTTTATCTTATTATTAAAATGCAAAGTCCGAAATAAGTTTGCGTATTTTTTTAAATTTAAACGATTTTTGAGTTAATGGCATACAAAAATACAATCCCATCGATTCCCGAACGCTTTTTAAATACTTCAAATTATTCTGTTGAAAAAATGGGAGAAAGCGCATTAACACATACGGGTTTTCACTTTGATTTTTTTGCTCAAAAATATCATCAACAATTTTCAATGTATAATGGAATGTAACAGCTGTAGCATTACCGAATCATTAAACGTGTTTTTTAACAAATGTTGCGCTTAAAATACCAATTCGAAACATTTGTTTTGTCGTTTAAAATCACTTCAATATTTACAATATTTGGATTTATCAAGTGTAAAATAAATATTCAAATTCTATTAAACACTTGTTTTCTAAAGTCACGAATTTTTAAGTTTTAAAGCTATAAGTCCATTAAAAAAAATAATATAAGTTATTATAATTAACTTATTAGAACATTTAGTATATTTTATTATAAATATATTAATAAATACCATTATTTTTCTATTGATTTTTTAATATATTTTATAATAATTTTTAATTAATAATAAACTATAATAAACCAATAAATTATAGTTTAAAAATATAGTACATATACTATAATATTAATCAAATGTTTTGACCACTTAAATTAAACTATTACTCACCATGTTTAACTATTACAGCCGATTAGATGATGCAGCAAATTAAGTGATACAAGACAAATTTTGTGGAAACTATGGAAATGATACATTAGACAATAGAGACTAAAGCAAACAATTTTGCTTAAACGTTTTTGGATTTTCCATATTTATAATAGCCGACTAACCATAACCAGCATAGTATAAATTTAAATAGAAATAATAAACCAGACATCGATGAGTCGTTTTGATTTTTCACATTCACTTTTTGTTTTGATAAATACGATGGCTCGAATATTTCAGATTGGGTTGTATTTACTGGGTTGGCGCTTGTTGGTACTGTGGAGGCTTTAGCATTGGTTTTATGTATTTGATCTACTTTGGTTGTTGTTGGTAACTCATATTTTAATTTGTAATTAGTTAAAATATTCGTTGTATAAATTAAAATATCAAATTGTTATTTGCAACAAAAAACACAAGAAGTTTATTAGTAAAAGTTTATGGTTATTATCAGATTAAAATATAGTTTTTTTGTAATAACATTTAACAAAATTATAAGTTCAATTATAAAATACAAAGATTTGATTTTTTTATGTTGTTTTTTTAATTAAAAAAATTCAATTATAAATCATTTCCCCACACTTGTACGTTTTTATTTTTCTTTTCGACGTTTGTACTTTCGTCAAACGTTCTATTCCAGATTCTCGAAACACTAGTAGGCAACACAATGTCTTTCAAACTTTGACATCTTCTGAAACTTTCGTTTCCAATTCTTTTGATTTTATTTCCCAATTCA